GCTAGAGTTCACTCTCGCGAAATCGGCGCGTTGCCATGGCAACGCGCCGGATCTCGCGAGAGGAACCGGGCGGAGCTACAAGATAGAGCTCCGCCGGGTCCTCTCCCTCCCCAGCCGCAGGTCTGTTTAAATGGGCCGGTGAGGGAGAGCTTTGATCTCCCCACCGGCCCTCCATGGAACACAGCGGGGCCGGCCCTGCATAGTGCCGGCCCTGCATAGACCGGCAGGTGAGATCCTGAGACCTCCCCTGCCGGCCTCGGCCCATAGCCACCGCGGCCCACCGGGCATTTGCCCGGTGTGCCCGATGGCCAGTCCGGGCCTGGGTTTAACACTATAGGGTCAGGAATACATGTTTGTATTCCTGACTCTATAGTGTTCCTGTAAGGCCAGAGTAGCTGAAAGTATAGCCGACTTACAGAATATTTCCAATTCGGCTACTTTGACCTTAAATTTGAAAGTCACTTTAAATTAACCTTGAATTTTTACATTAGTTAATAACCTTGCTAAAAAAACGACTTCTTGTTTAAACCATCCCTAATCTACTCTAATCTTGGCCAACAGCAGGCCCGGACTGGCCATCAGCCATACCGGACAAATGCCCGGTGGGCCGCGATGACCATGGTTCGAGGCCAACAGGGGAGATCACAGGATAGCGCCCTGTTGGCCCATGCAGAGCCAGCGCTATCTGAGCGCTGGCCCTGCTGTATGCTATCATGGGCCAGTGGGGAGATCAAAGATCCAGAATGATGCAATCCACGTTTATAGGGAGGACTCTTTTGATACAATAAGATGGAGAAGCTCTTCACTTGAAATTCGGTGGAGTATATGGGGAGAACCATTGGAGTTTTTCTTGTGTTCTTTCTCCCCATATGCTCCACCGAATTTCAAGTGAAGAGCTTCTCCATCTTATTGTATCGCAAGAGTCCTCCCTATAAACGTGGATTGCATCATTCTGGATTTATGATAAGTCATTTGGACTATTACTATTATTTCTATCATTTGTTTTGAGGCGCACCCTTTTCTGTTTTGTGTTATTTTGTGCACTCTCACACATAGCACACAAACACAAATATATATAATATATAAAATAATCCTCAGTGAGTTAACAGACAAAGAAAATTAGAAACATAGAATGTGACGGCAGATAAGAACACCCACACACACAGCACCCCTCTTACACACACACAGGACCCGTCTTACACACACACTGCACCCTCTCACACACATGCTGCGCTCCTCACACATACAATACGTCCAAACATATATATATACACTACAACACCCCTCACACTGCACCACTACACACATTACGCTGCAGATACACGCTAGATCCCTTACCTAATATACACTCTGAATCCTCTACACACACACACACACACACAATCTCCTATACACACTCTGGGTCCTTTACACACTAGTCCCCTACACACGCACACTGCACCACCTCCACACACTACATTCCTGACATACAAACTTTGGATCTCCTATGCATACACTACATTGCTTGTAAGCAAACACATACAACATTCTCTAATCACACACTCTCTACAACCCCTACACACACTACGTCACCTAAATACATACACACACTACATCCCATTTGCACACACTCACTACATCCCTTATACACACTATGCCCCCTATACACACACTCTCTATAGCCAGACATTTCACACCACAAACACGAATGAAATTGACCTATATGCACAATACCACACCACAATCAGCTCACTCTACACACACGCAATCCCACAAGCAGGCTCCAAACACATGCACCATACACTTTTCTGGCCCTTTTGTCCTCTGGTATCCCACTTATGGCGACACCAGAGACAAGTTAAAAGCAAACACAGCTCAAGCATGTTATTAAAGCTGCACAGAACAAATACAGGGCCTTTTTCTCAAGGTAGAGCTCTTCAGTAAAGTTATGCGCATTGAACCAATATGTTCACTTTGAGAGGGGGCGTGCTTGTCATTAGTGATGACAAAACACGCCCTCTCTGGCCCCGTCCCCTTCCCACAGGGCCGCTGTGATTGAAAAATGTCCGGGCCACATTTTTTTTCAGTCCGGCCCTGGCCAACAGACCAAACTGGGTTTCACTACTCTATATATCATCGACACCTACTGAATTTAAAGTAGTCATGAGATCCCATCTGCAATGGACTTCTAGCTGAGATTGATAAGAGATGAAGCCCAGCTGTGGTTGGCTACAATTGTCATGTTTTTTATTACAGGAACACCCCGCTGAAAATTGTATTTTTTTTTTTTTTTTTAAACAATTTAGTAGATTTACCTCCAAGGAAAAAGTGCATGTATTTTATGCATGTTTTCTTTGGGGCTATGTGAAAACACAGCCTCCCTGCTTCCTGTGACATCCCTACGCTCTTTCCCCAGCTCAGACTCTCATAAGGTCATTTACTAAAAAGTGAGAATTCAAAGTGAATTTCAAATTTAATGTCAGACTAGCCGAACTGCCAACATTTCGGTTATTTTGACCTTAAATGTAAACTTTTATTTGAATTCTCACTTTAGTGAATAATCCTAAATGTCTGTGCCAGGGAATACACTAATCAGGAGCTTGTCATTTAGGAGCCTCTGTTCTGGAGCCGTGAGAGTGCGCGCACTTGATCACGGCTTTCCTATTCTCTTCATGGAGCTGTGCCCAGTGTGCACTTTTATACTTTTAACTAAAAGAAAGCCATAACCTCTCACTTAATCCACAATACTAGTCTCTGCCATTATAAAGCTAGTTATTTCTCCATTTGAGATGAGCCATTGTCTGAACTGACCTTGCAATGTCTGTTGCTGTTTATCACACATTCAGGACTCCCTACGGCGATTTAATCCCAAACATTTGTCTTTACACTAGCCCTATTCTAATTCAAAAATACCTGGCCTGCTACATCACCAGCCCACTCTATTGATCGTCCCATTGTCAGGAATATTTTGCGATAAAGAACATCTGGAGTAGATCTGTAAACAAAGGAAGAAAGAAAATCAAAGGCAAAGCAACAACTGCTCCAAACCTGGCGTATACTTTGATCACAAACTCACTCGAACTTTATAGGGTTTTCTGTAAGATCATAAACTTACTACTGCAAACAATATGTTCCCCGCTTAACCCCTAAGCAGATTTACTCTCCTTACGTAAAATTTCATAAATGTGCCCATCCATCTGTATAAGAATCAGTCAAGTACTTGTTTGACCTTACGGAATGTATGTCATATTTTCAAGGTCATCTGAAGGACATTGACTATTTATATACATTTACTGTCCTTTATGCTTTACGTTCACCCATAGGACTATAAAGTCATATGAGCAGATTATTTATCTATCAACTTTATTCCTTAATGTTGAACTTATTTTGTAGTGATTGTTCATATGTCAGGATTACCTGTTGCACTGTGCTATGTCATATGTTGGCACTTTAATGATAATAATAAAAATTACCATAATCAATAATACACACTTTCCAACAAAAGGTGGGACACCAGGGCATATAATCGGGATTGCTGAACAGGACCCCAAAATCAGGACTGTTTG